TGAGGCCACACCCGACTCTGAACAGGATCTCGAAGTTCTGGGTGAAAGAGGAAACTCGAGTCCGTAGTTGCACAACCGAATTCAGTGCTCACCAGTTTTTCTGCGGGTGGAAGTCGTTATAGGTGACGTGGGAGCCAATGAAAGAATTAATTAGGCGCTGCTTAAAAACTCCACTTTGACTCGTGAGTTCAAGTGAAAGGCAATTATACAACTCAAATGACCGAATGTATGTGTTAATTTTAGCGATGCATAGTGCAGGGTTCCAGTGCATTGTTCGGGAAATGTCTCAGGTCCTGTTTTCCAGAGGAATTCGTGGGATTGGACTTGGAGCTGGGGAAGCCTTTTGTCTAGAGGACAAAAAAAAACTTGGAGATCAGGACACGGAGGGAATGTTCCGATGTAGCCGCTTTAACCTCTCTGGGGAAACCGCTGAACTCAGAGGCTATTGTTTCACTGTTAGTTACGTGGAATTGAGTCGTCTCTCTCTCTCTCTCTCTCACACACACACACACACACACACACACACGAGATGGAGGGACAGGCAAGCCAGTGTTCTTTTGATGAAGCAGCAATTGAAGAACCACAGGTGTCGGAGTATCTGGAATACTTAGGGAGTACCGAACCGGTGAACTGCAGAACCTCTGTAAATTGATTGTACAGGAAACAGATTCCTGCACCCTCTTTGGGTGGGGACCGGGTACTGGAAATCACCTGGCATTTAAGAAAAAGCATGTGGTGGCAATTGAAGGGTGTAGCATAGCCTTTTTTGTACAAACCTCTTTGAGCAATGTTTAGTTTACCTCATCTCAGTGAGTCCTGGTGAATGGCACTGCCAAGGACCTGCCACAGGACCCTCTAAGGCCAGCTCTCCTGCTGTGGCTGTCCTTTGTTCCCTTATTCACTGGAGGCTGAGGGGCATTCCTGGGACTAGCCTATGTTCCACGTTAAGGTCTTGCCTTTCTGAGGGCCCTTTATTCAAGCCACTGCTCAGCAAATGTCACCATTGTAAGTTTGCCTGCAACCCTTTGAATGGCAAGTCACCTCCCTTTGGGGAGAGGAGAGGCTGGACCTTCCCCCTGCGTGAAATGCTGATCCCAGTGCAATGCGGTGGCGCGGTCAGGGGCCACTTGATGACTGACTCACTATGGAAAATGAGGGCAAGGCTGTGGTGTGGTGTGGCCACGGGCCCCGCCTGCACCCACAGCACATTCCGCAGGGCAGTGGTGGTTCTGGGGCAGGCTTTCATCCTCTTCATCCTCTAGGGGTGCTACTTCTTTCTAGCCTGTCACCATTCTGTAGTCTCAGGGCTATGGTAAGCCTGGGGGTATGGCCACAGCTGTTAGATTTATATATCCCATGTAGTATATGTAATTATATATAATATATGTCAAGCATATATATATATATATATACATATATATAGTACCAAAGATACTTCAGAAAGTTCACAGAAAGTGGAATTAAAAGGTAAGTTTATTTTTGTGCAGAAAATGTTGAAATCCATGCAAATTTTTTCACTAGGTACATTTCCTGTGAACATTCTGAAGACTCTTTGTGTGCATAATTTCAAGTTTTTTGCCCCAATATAAACTGATTTTTAATTCTATTTTCCACAAATATTTTTAGGCACCCTGATATATACACACACCTATACACATGTGCAGTACCCAATTTGTCCTCCCTGTGAGAAATCGCCATAATTGGAGGTAGACTGCAGAATGCTGAAAGATGAGAGTTACAGAAACACTTTCACTCACTCATGTAGAATGCGGGAGACTTTGGAAAGAATTCACACTGAGATAACATATCCATGCCTAGCCCTATGCCTCAATAAGAAGTCATCAGTTAGGATTCGTTATGTCTGAACTCACATCCTTGAGCTTGATAATGTATCCTGCTGTCTCTATTATCTATGGTCTTAGTTAACTTTTGAAAGCAACCTGTACACAGACATAGATTTCTCAATTTTTGTATTTTTTTTTTTGCCAGAAAAATCTGAGAAGTATTTTTGAGTGCTGGATCATGAATCTGGTTTAAACATTGCATGATGCAAGTGGTGCATGAATAAGGACACGGTGGTATGATTTGTAGGCCAGGCATAAACACGACTACATTTGGAGTTCTAGCAGTGATTTTGGAATTTGCAAGCTCTGGCGATGTCAGTTGGACTGGTTGATGTGAACTGACAGCCCAGCCAGCCGTGTGCACAGGAGCTTAGTGGCCTGTGGAGGCTTTGGGAATGGTGGCTATGCCACAGCAGGACTGTCTGGGTGAAGTGTTGAAAGCAAGAAGGTAGATGAAGTGAGAGGGTGAAAACTGTTGCAAAACCTAAATGGCACAATAATAAAGATACTAATGAACAATACCCTAAGTGCATTAATTTTTATGTCTACGGAATGGCAAGCATTGTGCATGCATTTAATTTAAGTTAATGCTCTTGCAGCAGCCTGCAATGTAGACTTGGTTCTCCAGTTCACAAATTTGGGGTCTAAGGCTCAAGCTCACAGTTTTCTCCTGTTGTAGAGCTAGTGGGGTGTGGAAGGAGATGACAAGAATTTAAATTGAGGCTCTTTTCTGAGTCCAATATATACTTGTCATTTATCTTTGATTGGTGTTGAAATTTTTCATACTATCAGGCATTCAATTCATAAACACTATTTAGGGACCAACTGTGTCCCTGGAACTGAGGGGACTGAAATTAGCAAAGATCCTTTGGCGTAGGAGCAATTTCCCTCGGAGTACATTGGCAGACACAGAGAATGTCATGTTTTATGTTAGGTTGTGTCAATGATTCATATTAGATCAGCAGGGAGATTCCTTTCTACCTGCGCTCCAAGTCCATACTTTGTGAGTTCATCATTGTCACCCAGATTCTGCTCTGTCTCTTCAGAGGCATCACACCCAAAATTGGTCTTAGCTTATCTCACGCCCTAAACCCCACCAACCACAGCAGCTTCTCTTTCCAACTTTCCTGTCTCTTTGGAACATCCCAGCAAAGTAATCATCATTGCCACTTCCCTACTCTTGGATTGCTCAGTTCCAGTGAGTACATGTCCCCTTGCTTCCTGTGTCCACTCGTCTGTTAGATTGCTGTCTGCGATTGGCTTCCATTCTTCCAGCTTACAAATGCATCTGTCTTTGGGCTGTAATTCCTTTTTCTTAAAAACTTCCTAAATGAAAGATCTCTGCGAGTGAGATTCCAGTGAAAAGAACAGGTCATCAAAGAAGGAGGTACCTTTCTCTGAAGGGAGGAGAGAACTTCCACTTTGACTACGACCTTGTCTAAATATGATCAGAGTTGGTGAACTCAAAAGGCTTCCATAGCCTTGGCAACTCATGACAAGAGCCTAGGGTGATTACTGAAGCCATAAACAAGAGTGTCAATTTGTTAAGTCAACAACAGGAGTCACTGTGCACTTACTCCTCATGTAGGATCTCTGTCCTTAATGTACTGTACATTGTGATTTAATGCTATAACTAGTACTCAAACAGTATTTTTCACTTTGTGTTTCTATGTGGGTGCAAACTGTTGAAATCTTTACTTAATATATGCTAAACTGATCTATATATAAAGAGAATTGAAAATGAATCTTGATGTGAATGGAAGGGGAGAGGGAGAGGGAAAGGGGAGGGTTGCAGGTGGGAGGGACGTTATGGGGGGGGGAGCCATTGTAATCCATAAGCTGTACTTTGGAAATTTATATTCATTAAATAAAAGTAAAAAAAAAAAAACTTCGTTAAGATTCTATGGTGTGCCAAAGGGAATTGCTCATCCCTTCATTAGGGGTGGAGGGATCTGTCTCTCTTTTGGTCACCACTGTGTCTCCAGTGGCTGGGAAAGCACTGGGGACATTTGTGGAAGGTAGGAATCAATGCATGGATAATCTGTGGGAGAAAAGAGTTGAGGGCTAATATCTACTGATGATTCTTATGTTTAAGCACTGTGCTAGTCACTTTAGATGTGGTTGCATTTTATAGGATATTACAATCTGCAGCCTTCACTCATTTACTCAGGACACGTTTACTGAATATGTACCGTGTACCAACCACTCTGTTAGACACCGGGGAGAGTGAAAAAGGTAGGCATAGTCTAAGCCCTTTTGGAATGTGGAGTCTGCACGCATGCATATGGGGTACAGCCAGATGATAATCGAATAAAGGAACAGGCGAAACAGAGGCACGTTTTAATAAAGACCATGAAGGAAACAAAGTTTGCAGCAGAGGAGATTGAGGATCCTAGCTGAATCTGGCCTTTGGAAGCCGTGTCATTGTGCACATTTGTCTCCATTTCCTGTTGTTCCCAGCAGTCAGTAATGACAATGGAATTGCTAACTTCCTCTCTGGTCCGCGAATATGCCACACTTTCCCACCCTCAGATCTTTCCTCACATCATATTCAACAGATAGGGCCATCGTAGTCTTGCTTTCTCCAAAGTTTTGCTTTCTAAGATTTCAGTTATGGGTGATTTAAGGTTCCTGTAGTCAACATTGGTTCAGAAGTACATTAAAGCACACTTAAATATTTCGAAAGAGAGAGAGAGAGAAAGGGAGAGAGAGAGCTAGCTTACATTCATGGAACTTTTATTATATCATTAGAATTGTTCTATTTTATTATTAGTTATTGTTAATATTTTATTTGCAGGCCGGCACCGCGGCTCAATAGGCTAATCCTCCGCTTTGCGGCACCAGCACACCGGGTTCTAGTCCCGATTGGGGTGCCTGATTCTGTCCCAGTTGCCCCTCTTCCAGGCCAGCTCTCTGCTGTGGCCAGGGCGTGCAGTGGAGGATGGCCCAAGTGCTTGGGCCCTGCACCCCATGGGAGACCAGGATAAGCACCTGGCTCCTGCCTTCGGATCAGCACGGTGCGCCGGCCCCAGCGCGCCGGCGGCGGCGGCCATTGGAGGGTGAACCAATTGCAAAGGAAGACCTTTCTCTCTGTCTCTCTCTCTCACTGTCCACTCTGCCTGTCAAAAAAAAAATATTTTATTTGCCTAATTTATAAGTTAAACTTTATCATAGGTATGTACGTGTAGAAAAAAACATAGTATAAACCTTCAGATTAGGATTCAGTACTATCTGCTGTTTCAGCATCAACTGGGAGTCTTGGAACATATTCTGGTGGATAATGGGGGTGGGGGAAACCTACTGTATCCATCTGATACACTGCCTGCAATGATTTTTAGTAAGAAACTCTTCATGCCTTTAAAGAACTCCTAGACAAGAATTAAATACTATAGGATTTAGATGAAGAAATGACCATATCATATGAAAACTGGATTTCATTTTGGGGGAGATCAGAAAATGCTTAGAAAAGATAACATTTGGGGCCAGCATTGTGGTGCAGCAGGTTAAGCTACCACCTGCAAGACCGGCATTCCAAAGGAACACTGGTTTGAATCCTGACTGCTCCACTTCCCATCCAGCTCCCTGCTAATGAGCCAGGGAAAGCAACAGAAGATACCCTAAGTGCTTGGGGGCCCTGCACCGATGTAGGAGACCCAGATAGAGTTCCAGACTCCTGGCTTCGGTCTGACTCAGCCCCAACAGTTGTAGCCATTTAGTGAGTAAACCGGTGGATTGAAGATTCTCTCTCTCCTTCTCACTCTCCTTCTCCCTCTCCCTTTCTATAACTCTTTCAAATAAATAAACCTTTTGTTAAAAAAAAAGGTGGTATTAGGGGGATGGTACTATTTCTGTAGCTTATCATGGTAGAGAAAGTATGTTCTAAGATGATGGTGTAAGTAAACATTGTGTAGATGACAGTGCTGGGCACATTTCAGAAACAGCAAGAATCTCAAGAGTTGCTGGATCGTGGAACAGTTGCAGGGGATAAAGGGAGCTGAAAGCTAACATGGGCCCATGCGTTGGAGGACCAAATGCCAGGGAGAGGAGTTGATAATTAATGTGGTGGGCAGTGGGAATTTGCTGCGATTTTCCACAAGAGAAAGAAATGTTTGTAGCTGTCTTTTTAGAGGGGTTGCTCTGGTGTGCTGCGGAGGGTGAATTCGGGAGATTAAAGGCTGTTTTGTGGAAGGGCAAGTAGATGGGAAAGGGAAACCTGCAGCATACATAAAGATTAGAGACTGTGGAGTTAGGGCAGGACAAGCAACATGGAATAGTCCCTGAGCTTCCTGGACAGGGTAACTAAGAATCCATGCATTGTAGACAGAGATGCTTAGGAGGGAAATTAATTTGAAAGGGGATTAATTGTGATCCCTTGACCTGGAAGTATCTTCCTTTCTCCAGCCTATATACATTAAAATCTCACAAAGGTGATGGACAACTGGATCATGTGGTTTTACAGTCTACAACATTACTAATCTGTTCAATTAAGGGAAATAGTTTATCTTATATTATTCTGTAGCTGCTCTGAGTGTGATAGTCTTGTTTCGTTGGATTGTGTAAAGTCAGGGAGTTCTTCAGTATTCTCTAAAGCAGTTCTTTTTTTTTTTTTTTAAGATTTATTTATTTATTTGAAAGTCAGAGTTACACAGAGAGAGAGAAGGAGAGGCAGAGAGAGAGAGAGGTCTTCCATCTGATGGTTCACTCCCCAGTTGGCTGCAACGACCCAAGCTGCACTGATCTGAAGCTAGGAACCAGGAGCTTCTTCTGGGTTTCCCATAAGGGGGCAGGGGCCCAAGGACCTGGGCCATCCTCTACTGCATTCCCAGACCGTAGCAGAGAGCTGGATTGGAAGTGGAGCAGCCAGGTCTTGAACCGGGGCCCATATGGAATGCTAGTGCTTCAGGCCAGAGCATTAACCCATTGCACCACAGTGCCGGCCCAATCTAAAGCAGTTCTTAAAAGATCAGAGAAAAAGAAACTTGAAGACACTCTCCTGAAAATGTCTTTGATCATTTTTTGGGGGGGTGGGTAGAAGCAGATCATAATTCTTTGTAGAAATATATATATAACTGACAACTTCATCAAGTTCTGATTCACAATCTATAGCAGAGTAAAGAGAAGATGTCAAGAATGTAGGAGAAACCAAAGATGCTAACTAACACATATAGGGAAAATCTAGCGGAAAAAATAAATCTAGCTGACGTCAGACAAAGAAGTGAAACTGGATTTTCAGTATTGGTTCACCTGATCTGAAATAAACAAACAGAACTTAGCAGCTTAGTTACAAGAAAGAGATGTCATTTGAAAGAGCCCTAAATGATTTCAGCACAATTTAGTTATTGACAGAGTGAGAACACCATGAGAAAATTAGTGTGTATTACCGGCTTGCCTATAAGACTGTCTTTTTTCCCATTCTTTAGGGTACAGAAAAAGGTCATGCTAGGACTAGAAAATTTGCCAAGTGCACTGGCATCTAGGGAATTTACTCTGCCTATTTTGCCAAGGTCATGTGGGTAAGGGCTATGATAGTAATAACAGTAACTTTATTCAGTAGCACAGTTTTCTTTTAACATTTTTATTTCTAAAATTAAATAATTTGTGATGTATCTTTGTGATAACGTGTGAAGTTGGAAAGGGAACATGATTACTTATATAGCTATAATCTCTTTCTAATATTTGGGAAAAATAAAATAATTCTATCCCATCAATGAATTGACCTGTCTTTCAAAATATGAACAGTTGGGAGATGCTTTAATTCTGTCTGGCATATCACATTCATTCAGCTAATGCAATGATTTTATTTTGGATAGTCTATATTCCCTTTACTTTTAAATGTGTTTGATCAACCCCAGGTTTAAATATACCCCATCAAGCTTTGGTTTCTATTTATGGTAATGAAGATCAATATGGAGAGTTTAGAAATGAAATGCGAAAGACAGAACACTGGAGAAATGCCACCTAAATCTATGCATCTCTAAATGAAGTCATGTGGCACATGGGAGGAATATAAACTGAAATAGTGGCAAAATTATGCAAAGCAAAAAGTTTAAGGAAATTCATAAAATTTACAAGATATGAGCAAAGACAAATCATTCTGTTAACTATGGTAGAATAAGCAAACCGGCAGTCCTCTCCATAATTCTACTGTGATGCTTTCCAAAATACTAGTAAGGTTCCCTTTTTCTAATTAACTATGTACTAGAAATCCACCGTACTGTGACTCACATGATTGTGTGGAATAGTAGAAAAGGCATTATGGACTTCAGTTTAACAAAGCTTAAATATTATGCTCATCATACACAAGTTTTAAAATCTTGCTCTCTTGCAATTCTATAATTTACTAATGTGTTGTCTCTAGAAATGTAGGGGGTTAGAGATGTGTAGGTGGAGCCCTGTGTGTGTTTCTGGGTCAAGATTTTTTCTTTTGCTAACTCTGTGCTGGCTTTCCTATTCCTTAGTTAGTGAACTCTAAGCAATGATAGCCAGGCACACTTTGACATTATTACTGGAAGCAGAGTCTGGTCCCCATAGGAAGGCTAATGGCAATCATCCTGGTTGTTTATTTGTACTGAGAACCTACTATATGGAAAGTGCTTTGCATGTGTGAACTTATTTAATTCTCACAACTCTGTTTGACCTATGAAGAAACTGAGGTACAGATAAGTTAAATAATATTTTGAAGCTCACCCAGCCAGGACGTGACGGATCTGGGATTTGAACACAGATCTAGGTTCCAAGCCCTAAACCTCACGATACTATGGTGCCTCACATGTCGTCGTTATTTTGTTTTATTGCTGATGACATCTCCAGTACTCTTTGGTATTCTGATCATGGTATCTGTCTATCTCTTTGGACTTTTCTTTTTTCCTGTTATGCACCAACAGGACTCAATCTGGTTTGCAGAATATAGTGCCCTTAATGAATCATCAAGACGTCTATGGACATTTTGGGGGATTTTGTGTGTGTGGGTCTCATTTTATTTTTTTGACTCAATCCACCTAAATGAATAGATAGTTAGGGCATTTGACGTCTGCATACAGTTAAACAAGTCCTAGTGCTTAGCTACATTCACTAGAGGAAAAGAAACACACTGACCACATTGTTAAACACATTGTCTCTGTAAGTAAGAACAACTTCTCTCTGAACTTGCTTGCTGTCTATTAGTTTGAAGTTAGGAAGATTTACCCGTGTTTTATTCCTCCAGGGTACAAATATTGTGCAATTCAAGAATAATGAAAGAATTGTGTCAAATGAGGGGAAGCTCAGGGAATTATAGGGCAACCAAATCCACATGGCCAAATCAAAGCCACGGTACTGATAATACACATGCACTTAATATCCACTGTTTAATTGACATGCTTTCAGGGGCAGCAATGACATGTCACAGTCCCATTGTGTCACTGTAAGGGGGAAAGCATGCACACATGTGTTAAAAACTTGATGAACTCCTAACTCAGCAGTGGAACAATTACTTCACAGATTGGATTATTCTGAAGAGAACCAACAGCCCCATTCAGCCAATGTATTTTGAGCTCTTCTGTGTGCTGGGCTCTCTGCGAGGTGCTAGGGACACAGAAGTGAAGAAAACACTATCTTTGTTCTCAAAGGGAGTCTAATGCACGGGTCTCTTCTCTGTTACAATACTTTATCTCTAAGTCTTGTGTGACGGTGTGGCCACATCGTGATCTAGATGAAGAGCTTCCAAATGGCCCCCTCTGCTAAAGTCAAAGTGTCTTGGTGAAATCACATTGTCTTCTATTCTGAAATCCAAGTTTACTGGATTTCAATGTCAAGTTTACTGTTTTGCTCTCCTTGATAAAATATAGTATATGAACTAGTTGCTGGGTTACCACATAAAATACTGGCCCCAGCTGCAGCTGGGAAGAGCAGTTAGCAATTAAGTAAAGGAAATGACTAGTGGGTTTGAAACCCAACACATGGCCCATATACTTCTTAGCAAGGCAAGCATCTAAGTTACTGAGGCAACTTTTATCACTAAGGAAGTAGTTTTGGTGACTCATGTTCACACAAAATGACTTACTTTAGAATCTGGACATTCAGTAACCTTATCATTATGCTTTCTTTTCTTTGGACTAAACCAGATAAATTCATTTGGAAGACATTGGCTTATTATTTAGCAGCATATCATTCATTGGCTGCCTCATAGTTTGAAATTTACTGGACTTGTGGCTGACCAGAGTAAAAGGTTAGTGGTTGCTGGAATATATTGACATGTTAAAGGTACAACTAACAGGTTGTTTTCTAAGCAGAAATGTTTTGTAATTTTTTGTCAAATATTTTATGTAATATAATAGTGTTATTTATAAGTAGTCATACTTTTGATACTTAAATTAGAATATTGAAATATTTTATACTGTAACATAAAAATCTCTTATTTTTTTCCTAAAGAAATGAAAAATGGAATCAAAGTCTATGGAGGGCCACCTAGTGATGATAGTTACAATAATGAAGGAATCGTAAGAAAAATTCTTGCTAATTTCTCTCTTCTCATTTTCAGAATACCTGACTGATGTTGCAACAGTGTTTGTTTATTGACAATTGACTTTTAATTTTTATTAAAAAATAGTACAGAAGTTTTAGGAAAAGTTGGCCGGCGCCGCGGCTCACTAGGCTAATCCTCTGCCTTGCAGCGCCGGCACACCAGGTTCTAGTCCCGGTCGGGGCGCCGGATTCTGTCCCGGTTGCCCCTCTTCCAGGCCAGCTCTCTGCTGTGGCCAGGGAGTGCAGTGGAGGATGGCCCAAGTCCTTGGGCCCTGCACCCCATGGGAGACCAGGAGAAGTACCTGGCTCCTGCCATCGGATCAGCGCGGTGCGCTGGCGGTGGCGGCCATTGGAGGGTGAACCAACGGCAAAAGAAAGACCTTTCTCTCTCTCTCTCTCTCTCTCTCCACTCTGCCTGTAAAAAAGAAAAAGAAAAAGAAAAAGAAAAAGAAAAAGAAAAAGAGAAAGAAAGAAAGAAAGAAAGAAAGAAAGAAAGAAAGAAAGAAAGAAAGAAAGAAAGAAAGAAAGAGAGTTACAGGTTGATAATATGTTCAGAGAACCATATGGAAAGAACTTACTATTGACAGAAAAAGCAAGACCGAAGCCAAGGCTCCCAGCTGACTTCTGAGTATCCTAGCTTGGGTTTCAGTTTTTCTTGTATTCTTCATTGTGCCAGGCTTCCATGTGATCAGCCCAGGGCTCAATTCTGTCCTGAAGCCATGCTATAAAATTCAAAAATTTTAGCTGTTTTCTTTTTGCTTGAATGTAATCCTTTTCTGTTTTTAATTTTGCGGCTGGAAAAACTTGAAAAAAGGCAATGAGTCATTGCAAACATTTCCTTTTTTTCTGCAGATAGAATCCTGCAATGTGAGGCCAATGTACTGAGCACCATGTGTGCTGTGCATGAACTTTGGCATTTTCAGTGCTTTTCTGGAGGCACCTTGTAAGAGAACTCGTAGAGGGAGGTACTAGTACAGGGATTCTTAAAGTGCTATACAAAGTGATTCACAAGGAGTTACATGACTAGCAGGAGTGTCCCCTAGGAATTTTTTAAAGAAATTATGTGAGTCAGCATCCCAGGCCAACTGAATCAGAAACTCAGGTGGGTGGGGTTGTGACAATTGGAGTTTGAATATGACTTCCAGGTGAATCTGAGGACCACGAGGCTGGTGTATCATTGGTACATGTGGCCATGTAGAACAGGAAGGTATAGTGGTTAGAGAAGGGGGAAATAAATGAGTCTTTGCTTGTGAGGGAGTGAAGAAGCCATAGAAAAGAATGCTTTAGCTTTTGCAATTCAAACAAGCAATACAGTTTAAAAGCCTGAGATTTAATTTGCAGAACTAATTGTTTGCATGAGTGTTTGTTTTCTCAGAGAGGAGCAACCCAGATGACTAAGTTACTGTGAAATAAATGCTTGGTTTAGAAATTCTAGAATAATCTCTGCAGTGAGAAAACGCATGCCTTTCCATATTAGTCCATAAATTCAACTCAGGTTTGTAAAGTTCTATAAGATTCTTGTATTCTGTTGGCTTGGCCAATTCATTTGTCTCTTGGGACACCATCTGACAACCATATGCATTCCGCTCTTCATGAATGATCTCATTGGGATGGAATGAGGGCTTTAATATGTGTAAGAGAATTTGTGAGGCTTTCTGATTCCTGGAAAATGAGAACCATAAGGGTCAAGAACTATTAATGAAAAAACTGATGATAACGAAGTGTTTAGAAGATGATGCAAAAATGTGCTGCTTATTTCAATCTCTTTGATTTATGCACTTTTCAGTCCTGACTTAATCATTTAAAAGATGTTTGAATTTAAACAAATCACAGCTTTTGAAAGCTTTTAGCCAAAAATATTGTGGTAAATCATGCCCACTCATGGGATTTTCATGAGAATAAAATTAGATGAAAATATCAAAATGCAGTTTCTAAAGATCAGGCTTTACCATTTTTAGATGTTCTTGTTATGATTGTTGCTATTTTATGTCTGGGTTGAGTTAGCTTCGTGGTTGTTGGTGTAATGACATCATCCAGGAGTTTGGAATAAATGTGTACATCAGCAGATTTTATGATTGCAAAAAATAGCTGTGTTTATTTTTCTACTAATTCTCCTTCAGTGGAATGTTTCAATTTTCTCATGGAATGGGGGAGATCCACATATGTTTTATTAAAGAAAGCAAGTATGATATTTCATTGAACTGGGAGGCAACATTTCATTCTTTCTTCCAGGGAAGAGTTGGGGACTGAGGAGTCAGATAATTGGGTTAGATCCCCAGTTTCTATTTCTGATGATGCAACCATGGGAAAACCTCCTGTTCCTTTGCTGTAAAATGGGAGTGATAATAATAGAGTTGCATGAAGATGAAGCGAGCAATGAATATAAAACACATGGTAGAGTATCTTGCACAAAATAAACACTCAATCACTGTGAGTTATTGTTGTTATTATTATTAAATTATAGCATGAAGAGGAGAAAAAGGGACTGTGTCTAACAGTCAAGGGCAAGAGACAATAAGAAGACAAAGAAACAGTTACTAAGTGGCCTGTTCACGTTACCAATGAAAATTCAAGCAGTTTCCTCGACTTTCCTGATCTGTTCCATTGAGAGTAAATGATTCTCCAATCACTGCAAATGAGAAAATGGATCATAGTAATAGATGTTACATCTCTTGTCTCCCTAGCTAGAGTGTGCTGGAGCCATAGACAAAGCGCGTCTTGATTTTCTCACTCCCCCTACTTAGGTGCCTCCCTTCCTCCTTCCCCATCTTGTTAAGGTTTCTCCAGGGTGAGAGGTCATACTGGGGAAGAGTTACAGGAGTATTTCTTACTTGGCCTTGTGTTTCCATCTCTGGATTTGACATGTGTTTAAAACTAGCTCTTTTCCTGGCAGATGCTTCTTTGGTGGAGACTTCTTACCACCACGGATCTCTCTCTCTCTCTCTCTCTCCCTCCTGCTCCCCTGACATGCAGTAATACACATGTATTCCTTCCATAGTCCCCTGGGAGTCATTCTGGGTACACTGCTTTCCTCTTTTTGCCCTGGGACCTTCTCTGTGGATGATCCCTTGAACAAGATCCAAGACAGCTCCCTCTTGCACAGTTCAGATGTGGTCCAAAGGAAATACTTGGCCTCTCCAAACTTTTAGTTAAAGGGCTTCAATTTAAATACACTGGTGTCCTTGGAAGCTCCTTGCATTAGGCTGGAGGTGAGGAGCAGACAGGCCCTCTCCTGTATTCCTCAGAGAAAGGTCAGTCCCTAGCATGCTCATAACTTTCTACAAAAACTCCCTTTTCATCTTGAATAACTTCCAAGTGTTTATAACTTTGACACAGATAAGTGGTTGTGGGAGTTGTGTAACTCCTTCTGGAAGCTTCCTTTGGATGTTTTGCCTTATTCTTTTGTATTTCACTTTGGAATGTGTTTCTAGTGTTTGAGTACTTGAGCTAAAGCATACATTTTCATAACCTGTTAATACTACCCAGAAAAATTATCTGGACTTAGCAATTTTGAGCCAATTTGAAGACACTGGAGCAAAACTCAGAAAAGAAAAACAGGATACTTCTGAGCCTTTGCACACCACTGAAATTTAAACAAGGCGTTTAGAGTAACAACATACAGGCAGTATAACAAAGTTGATGAAAAGATGGTGTGGTGGTAGGTAGCTGAACTGATCTGAAGCCAGGAGCCTGGAGCTTCTTCCGGGTCTCCCATGTGGGTGCAGGGGCCCAAGGACTACTGCTTTCCCAGGCCACAGCACAGAACTGGATAGGAAGTGGAGCAGCTGGGACTTGAACCGGCACCCATATTGGATGCCGGCACTGCAGGAGGCAGCTTTACCCACTTTGCCACAGTGCCGGCCCCTCTCTAATAGCTTTTAAATTTTCTTTTCTATATGTTTCTCTATTTCCTAAACTATATATAAAGGACACAAATATTTAGATATTAGCCAAAAAGAGAAAGAGTGGTCAGAAGCGAGACTCTTGGAGTTGGATTGAACTTCTAGTATGCTGGGGTTTTCTAATGTATGTCTGTGGGCTCTTGTCACTTAGGGAGATATTCAGAAATTTGTTTTCCAAGTAGGGAACAAGTGCCAAAATGAAACTGCAGGTTGCAGTTTTTGGATTTTAAAACTGTGAACTCTACAAGGATACACAGCTGATGTTCTGTGTTGCATTCTTTTTCTACTCTCTTCTAGAAGTAGTTCTAAAATGAAAGGAGTAGAAAAGATAGGACATGCAGATTCTTCACATTCTTTCCTGACCAGAATCCTTAACTCCTGATTTGAAATTCTCCCTCAGAATCCTTGACAACTCCGGGTTGTTTATTATTTGATAGTTTTCAGACTTTTTTTCCCCCTCTAAACTGATGCTGTCTTCTTATTTCTCTTCTTTTAAAAATGTGGTTATGTTTTTTGTAAATAAATATGTTAGCCATTTTGATTTTTGTAATACTGAGAAAATCACATGAAGTTTCCTACCTTTTAATCTTTGTACAAAACTGAATATTAAAAAAGAAAATCTGATAATTCTAAAATGGCCTAATAAAATTTTAAACACTTACAGTGTTCTTTGACGTTTCTAGCTCCGTATTATCTCATTTTGATATTATCCTACTAGTAAAATGTATGTCTGCCATCTACTGAAATAGAGTCTATTTTAGTCACTTAGTATTTTCTGAGTGACTAAACATGCTACAAATCC